TTGTAACTCGTTTTTGTGACTCCCGGGTAGTTCCTCCCCCCCCCCCCAAAAAAAAAAAAAACATGAAAAACAAAATGAGCACACTGAAAGCATTCATTGTTCTCATTCTTCTTTTTGTGACTCCCGGGTAGTTTCCCCTCCCCTTCGCCGCGCCTCTCCGTGCCTCTCACGTACAAGCCTCGGCATGTTGATGAAATTGAGCGCGAGCTGCCCCGGATCCCCCCCGTGTGCCATAACGGCCCACTTGTGCGCTGTGCGAAAGACGCCGAGCATAGGGAAAGGGGATAAACACAGAGAAGCCAGATGGAGAGAAGACGAGAAAAAGAACAGAAAACGGAAAGTAAGGGAAAGTAAGGAGTGTGGAATGAAGATGACCGCAAAGGAGAGGATAAGAAAAGGCTCAAGAATCAGTCTGTCCTTGGCGACAGAGAGGACATGCATTGTAAGGACGAGGTGGATGAACACACGGAAGACCTTGTAGCTGAGCATTCTCAGTAAAACAACGGCCACAATGGCTGGCATTGAGCATGCCCACCATACACCTGCAATGAATTGCAGTGCTACAAGTGGGCTGTACACTAATTTTGTCCCTGTCGTTGTTGCCGGGACTTGATCCCGCAACCTTTGTCTGCTGTGTTGCCTGTTTGTTTGCGGTTTGCATGTTTTGAGCCTTGCGGGACTTGATCCCGTGACCTGTAACTTGTATGTTTTGTTTGTGAGTGTTGTGCCCTATGGGACTTGATCCCTGCGTCTGTCACTAGTAGTCTCTGTTTGGTAGTCCTAGGCCATTCGGCCTTTTCTTTTGCCTTGTCATAGGTCTAGGCCCCCTTTTTCCCTGTTTCCATCTAGATACAGATAGGTTTTGGGTTGTTGCTTTGGGGAGGCCGTCTTAGGTCTAGCGGAGTGTAGAAGTAGCGGGCAGGAAGAATAGTTCGGGTCTTTTCTCGTTTTTTTGGCTGGGGAAACTCTGCCCGTTCGTGGCTGAAGTGTTGCTGCGTTATTTTGGGCGAGGCGTCTTCTTCCTCGAAGCCCAGCCATAGCTGGGGCTGGGACACAAAGTTGAAGATCGCACTGCTGCTATCCAGCAGTTCTGCACGAGAGCTTCACCAGAACTGTGTTGTTGGGTTTGGGCGCTGCCTTTCTTCACTTGGCAGCCATATCTGTTGTTCCTCCTCAAGAGGAACTTCGTTTTTTTTGTCTTCTTCGAAGTACTGGATTGGTTCTCCTTCTTCATCAGGACTTCCAGCGCTGCACTGCCGTGCAGACGCTGAGCTGGTGCTGCTATTATTGAGGTTGCTGGTTCAGACTGGCAGGTTGTGACAGCTGTGGGGTTACTGCTGCCACGGCAGCCATAGCCAGGGGTATGAGGTGGCAAAGAGGAAGAAGAAGACTCCTGTAGACTTCGTTGAATACTTGTTTTTGGTTGTTCGGGGTTGTTGTAAACGTGGTTGTGATTCCTGGAACAAGTACCTTGGATTGATCGGAGGAGGACGGGGGATTACAGAATTGAAATTCATTTTTCAATTCTCTGTGTGTTTCGAGCTTCCGCTGTGCATATCTTCGCTCCGGTTTTGTGTGGATTTGCTTCCTTCGAGTCTACTCTGCAATTGCATGCGTGTATGGGAACGTGTGAATTCGTTGTGGATTGAAGTTCAGTCGGGTACATAACAGTTGGTATCAGAGCTGTGACAACCGGCGAGCAATTGAGTGGCAACCTCCTTTCTGAGCGGCGGTTGGAGTAGGGACTTGTTGTCCACTTTCTTCAACGGGTGTCATTGGTAAGAGGTGGTGGAAGGTAGGGTGCGAGGGGAGAATTACCGCTATCAAAAAAAAAAAGAAAAAAAAAAAAAGAGAGATGCGGAGTGGTGGAACTTACACGGGAAGTTTCAGCTGGCGGGAGCAGAGTTGACCGCTGCGTCAACCCTAAGTGGCTCGGTGGACCTGAGTGTCGAGTGACCCTCAAGTTGCAGACGATGCCCGTAGACCGCACGGGACTTCAGTCTGTGCCGCTGCTGCAGTTACTTCAACGAGTTTGATTGGAAGATTTATGGAATCTCCGTTGCAGGTCTGACGTCAACGTCAGACTGGTTTACTTCATCTTGCGGCAGATTGGCGGTCAACGGTTGACCGGCCCGATATCTTCGATCAAGTTTCATCCAAGTGAGTTCGTTCCTGGATTTCTTGGCCGTCATCAGACCCTGTCAGTGTCTGTCAGAGTCTGTCAGTCGTTAGTCTGTGTGCAGTCTCGGTCAGATAGGTTGTCAGTCGCCATTCTGGTTGTTTCTGACCCCTCTCTGAAACTGTTCTAATTCAAAAAAAATAAAAAAAAATAAAAATGGAATTGCAAATTATTGCATCCCACCGACCCTGATCTGCGGTGATTGCCTACCTGGTTCTGTGAGTGGCAACCGGAATTTATTGTCGGTCTGTCGGTGTTACATTCTGCTACTTCACACGGGCCTTCAGAGGCCCGACATACCGGTTCAGGGGGGTACCCAGGCCGGCCTCGCCAAAAGCCAGGCCTTTTCCCCCGGTACGCCCTGTTAGGCCACCGGTTGGCGCCTCAGCGCCTAGCAGACCAGGTCTGGCCCAAACGACATGACCGTTTGGGCCTGGCGGCGCTCTTGAGGCTGCCGCCCGCCGGTCTGAGCTGAACGGTCATTTCGGCGGTTCAGCCCACGGCGCAGGAGGCCAGCATCAAGGCCGACCGGCCGCCGGACGGTACTTAGGCCGGTCCAGCGGCCATTCTCACAGGTTGGGAACAGAAGCAGCAGCCAGCGTTAGCGCTGCGCTATTTCGGTTTCAGCACAGCGCTAAGGGCTGCAGCGCTAAGCTTAGCGCACTGCCGCCTAGGAGGAGCGAGGAGGACCTACCTGGTAGACAGCGGGGTGCCATAGCTCCAGCGACTTGCAGTAGGCTTCCCACCACAGCCAAGGCGCCAGCTTGCCAACTGCAGGTTAGGTGTGAGGCTACTCGCCATCTTCCCAACTCTCTTCTTCTCTCCCTCTTCATCTTCTTCTTCTTCTTCTTCTTCTTCAGATTGGAGACTTTGATACGAGTCGGACAGAGATCAGTGTTTGGACTTCGGTGGTAAGAGGCTGTGGTACTTACCGGATTCGAGACCTTGGAGATAGTTGGGATTGATACTCGGTGGCATCACAGATTGGACACCGGTTACATTAGGACTCTGTACCTCCGACATTGGTGACTTATTGTCCACAACATTTTGATCTTTGTTCGGTGACATTTTGGACCACCATATCGGTGACTTTCTGGATTCTATCTCGGTGACATCTGGCGCTGCCTACACCTCCCACCTCCATCGTCTCTCCTCCCACCTTTCATCTGTGTCTGGCTGTACGGGGCCTGAAGCATCGTCTATGATTGGCTTCAGACCCCACCACCTCCGATTGTTTGTGTGTGAGTGATGTCTGGATGAGTTCAGTCTATGTGAGTCAGTCCATTTCTCAGACTTCCGCTGCATACATGCTCATCCTATATTGGTTGATCTTTGGTTCTGCCCATGCTTGTTGAGGTATTCACTAGTATGCAACAGTCGGTCAGTCCTGTCAGTTGGCAGTCAGAAATTGGTCAGTCGGTATTGAATACTGCTTATCCGTATCAGAAGTCAGAACGTCAATGAAATGACGGATTCCTATTTTTGATTAGAATTAAAATGTTTTGCAGACTGCACAGCAGTGTTTGAAATCCGCTCCGGTGTTTGTTTTTTTTTCCTGATTGCATTGAAAAGTATCCTCCCGCTTGCTGTAGAATGCTAACTGTTTTGGGAAGGCTTCGTAATGAGCCTGATCACAAACATCATTGCTTTTCTGATCGGGTTGCAGGCTCAGATGTGGCCATTCTGTTGACGGTATCGGCCGTTGGCCTGAGCCTGTAATCTCCCAGACTGTTTTCTGACAGTTACCACTACCTGCCGTATATCCCAAACCTTTGTGTAACTTTCTTTTTTTTTTTATAACAAAAACAGGTCCTTATGGGCCTGGCTCCTTTTCCATTCTGGGGAGCATCAGTCCGGTTCCTATTCCCCCGGCAAGTCAGAATAAAATATTACATCATGAAACACGCTCACGCTTCCTTCCACACGGCTGAAGGACCCCTGACCAGCATTGATTGCTCCCTTGAGGGAGGATTGACTGTCAGCTTGCCCTAACAACTTGCTCCTCTCAGGTTCCCTTCTTGGGCCTGTCAAATAGACCTATTCGAAGCGAGAGAAAGTGGTAGGATCTGCCTCCAGCCAGAAATCTGAGTCTCCTTCCTCTCTAAAGTTCCCGCCTAATACCCTTGGTGCTCAGCATAGGACACTGTTGTCTGTATCAGGACTACTCCATTAATCGTGAGGTATCTTGGTCCTCTCTTAGCATCTTGCGAGTTGTGCTCGTCCTTCCACCGTACATAAGAATTCTTTGTCTCTGCAACTTTCCTTCAATCAGCCAGGTCTTGGTAAACTTCAACTGTACTTGTGCGCTGTTGCTCGTCCTCGTCTGGTAGGGAAAGTCTTCTCTCACTGCTAGGGTTGTCAGATAGTTCTAAATTCCTAGAAAGAGTTTGCCCGGTTGTCGTGACAACTCAACCCCAGGAAGGATTCACCAGCAACAGATAACTGCGGATGGACAAGACATTCGATGATCAGACATCCAAGAGGGGGAATAAGACGAAAGTAAGGGTGTCATAGAGCAGGATAGTAATCGAGGGTTTAGGGATTAAGGGTTTAAGGGATTCTCAAAGAGGGTAGAGAAATTTCGGGCAGGGGTCAGAGTGGCTCTCGGGTAAGGATGGATAAGAGAAGGTACTAGGGACCTTTGTAACTTTCTACTAAACATCACAGTTAAATTCGTTTTATTTGTGTTCTGCGTGTGAATTATAATCAGAATTATTTATTATTATTATTATTTGTTTGCTAACAAATAAAATCTGAAAAGACCTTATGGCCACTGAGGAGAAGGCTAAGGGACCTGCTGAAGGCGGGGAGACGTCTGCGAAGTATGAGCCAGGCAGGGAAGACCAGAAACCCCTGACTGAGGAAGAGCTCATGGACGCAACCCTGAAAGCAACAGAGAAAGCTACTGCAGATGCAGTTCGGGAAGTAGAGAGATTAACGAGGGAGAAGGCTGAGGCAACTAGGAAAGGGGAAGCAGCAGCCGAAAGATCTGAGCTGCGGGACATTATTGCCAAGGTCCCTGCTGATGCCCGCGTGGCTGATGTCACGCGGAATCTTGCAGAATTGGTACTGTTGGAATCCGCTCACAACGGGGATGTTTTCACATCCTGGGATGAACGGATCTCATCAGTTGAGTCCCAACTATCATCTATTGACAAAAAGCTGGAAAAGTTGTCAGCAGCATTCTTCAGGCATTTCCCTCTTGCTCCTGCACCCTCTCCTCACCCTACTGTCCCTCCTCTTAGCCCTCCTATGACATCCACACCACAATCATTCCATCCTGGCTCTCCCAGGACTTCACCAGCTCCTCCAAAAGAGAAGGCGGCGCAGGTCTCTGGGACTGTGCCCACAGGGGAACCGAGTTCCAACACTGTGCAGCAGGAACTGCGATTTCCCAAGATGGCCCAGCCTGAGAAGTTCACTGGGGAAGACCCCAAAGTGGATGTCTCAGACTGGATAGCCCAGATGAGGTCTTACCTCAGGGGCTATACCTGCCCAGAGGTGGACAAGGCACGTGCCACATTGACCCTCCTGTCAGGGGCCGCACTAAAGTGGGCAACTTCTGAGGCCAGCAAGGCTCAGAAGCAGCTGGATGATTGGATTCAGGATGCCATCTTTCAGGGTCTGGAAACCAGGTTTGCTGACAAGGAAAAGGCCCGCAAAGCAAATGACAAGCTTGTGAGACTAGGCCAAAGCAAGTGGCGTGGATCACTCTCCAAGCTTTATGCAGAGTGGGAGAAACTAACCTCCACACCTGGTTTGGAAATGTCTGAGTAGGACAAATTGACATGGTTTGTCAAAGATGCTCCAGAGACATATGCCAAGGCCCTGTTCACTGCAGGCCACAAAGACTGGAGGTCTTTTGGCAGCGCAGCGCTGGACATGGAGGCCACACTCCGTCTCCAGACCTCTTCCCAAAGGGGAAGCACCTCCTCTTCCTAGAACAAGAGAAAGGGAAAGGGAGTATTGTATGTTGCAGGATCTAAGGATGACTCTTCAGGCTCTGACCAGGGAGGATTTGTTCCCTCAGCTGGTCTAGATGCAGGAGCAACACCAGATCAGGTTGCCCTGTTGTTGGGTCACACTTTGATGAGCCTGATGAAGGGCAAAACTCAGTTTCAGCCCCAAAGGCCCTCCAATCCTAAGGGTTCAAGCAAACGCCCAGGTGGCCCGCAAGTACCCAACTTTCCAAAGGGTGCCACCTATCCAACTAATCCCATGTATCTTGACACTTTCCCTTGGAGAAGTCTCAAGATTGCTGAGGGAACATGGCAGAAAAGAAAGGATCATGGAGTTTGCCTCAAATGTGCTAAGAAGCGCTTCGTGAAGGACTGCCCCACTTAAGGCACTAACACTTCAAAAAGATGAACAGGCCAGCAGAGGTAGCAGTCACCCCTGCTGAACTACATTCACCCTCTTTTGAAGGTGAATCGGTCTCTGAGCTTGATTGTGTTGAGGCTGCAACTGACTCTGTGTATGCATACACTGAGCCTTTCTTGGATGAACCCTTATCTGAGGAAGAGACTGATCAACTCTGCTCCCTTCATCTCCAACTGAAGGAGAAGAGAAAAGTAAAGTCAGATGTGATCTTTCTCAAACCTCTGATTAACAAAACCCGGATCGAAGCACTGTTGGACTGTGGTGCTACACGGAATTTCATCTCCCCGAGAGGAGTATAGAAACTCTACTTGGGACTCAAGGTCTCAAACCTTGAGCACCGCTTATGCATACAGGTTGGGAATGCCCAATCTGTCATAGTCCAACAAGTTATCACAGGTGTGTCGGTCACCTTTGATGCCAAAGGAGAAGTCAGATATAACTTGGACTTCTATGTGTTTCCACACTTGCCTTTTGATCTGGTTCTGAGCCTGAAATGGTTAAGGGCAACTAACCTATGTATTGACTGGGCTGTGCCGAGTATTCAACTGAAAACTGAGCAGGGTGAGGTTAGATCTCGTGTCTTAGCAACAGACTATCACCCTAAGACAAGTTGTTATTGCCTGAAAGCAAGAGAATTTTACAACTTGTCTAAACAGACTGACCATCAGAATCTCTTTATTGCCTCTGTGACACAAACTGATTCATCCACCCCTCAGTGTGGCCCCATCATAAAGAGAGTGGTTGATGATTATGCATGTTTAGCTCAGAAGCCTACTGGACTTGTGCATAGGCAGACCAAACATCACATTGAAATCCTACCTGACTCAACCCCTCCCAAGGGCAGAGTCTATAGGATGTCTCCTACTGAATTGTATGAGCTAAGAAAGCAATTGGAAACACTAACTTAAAAGGGTTGGATCAGGCCCAGCACATTTGAGTATGGGGCACCAGTTCTCTTTGTTCCCAAAGGAAATTGTGAACTCAGGACGTGTATTGATTATAGGGGTCTAAACAAGATCACTAGGAAGAGCTCAAAGCCCTGGTATAGGATCGGTGACATGTTGGATATGGTGCAAGGCTGTAAAGTTTTCAACAAAATCGATCTGAAATCCGGGTATCATCATATCGAAATGGTTGAGGAGGATGTTGCTAAGACAACCTTCAAAACCCGGCATGACACCTATGAGTTCTTGGTCATGCCCTTTGGGTTATGCAATGCACCAGGAACCTTCCAAACAGAAATGAACAAAATCTTCAAACCATTTCTTGATCGTTTTGTGGTAGTCTACCTAAATGATATTCTGGTGTTCAGCAAGAATGTTGTTGACCACGCTGATCATCTCAGAAAACTTTTGCAGATTTTGAGGGAAAACAAATACAAAATAAATACAAAAAAATCATATTTTGGTGCCTCTTCTGTTTTGTATTTGGGACATATCATTTCTGCAGATGGTCTTTCCCCAGTAGCCTCCAAAGTGGTTGGTGTCAGGGATTGGCCACAACCACAAACTGTTAGGAACATTAGGTTTTTCATGGGCTTGGCATCTTACTACAGAAAGTTTATCAGAAACTTTTCTACTGTGGCCACTCCCTTGACTAACCTGTTGGCAAAAGATGTTCCTTTCAGATGGACACCCACATGCAAGTTGGAGAAAGCCTTGACCCAAGCACCTCTGATGAGGCTTCCTGACCCTACCTTGCCATTTGTGTTCACCATAGATGCAAGTCAGTATGGTGCAGGGGCTGTCCTTCAGCAAGATGATGGGTCTGGCCTCAAGCCTGTGGAGTTCACGAGTAAGAAAATCAAAGCACAAAAAGTTCAAGCATCTACTTATGAGAAAGAATTATTTACCCTTGTGTGTGCCCTCAAACAATGGAAGCACTTCTTACTGGGAAGACACTTCAAGGTTTACTCTGACCATTCGACCTTGCAGTGGATGAAGACCCAGGCGGAGTTGAATGATAAGTTGGCGAGGTATATTCACTTCAATGATTCCTTTGACTTTGAACTGAAACACAAAAAGGGATGCTATAACAGAGTAGTTGATGCTCTTTCTCGCATGCCTTCATACTTACTCATTTGGAGATTCCACACGCCAAGCTATTGCTGATGCGTTGCCTCAGGACACTGTCTTTGACCCTACTATTAGGAATCTGCAGGTGGATGCCAATTCTGAGCCAGGCTATGCCTTGACTTCAGAGCTCCTATACACCATCAGTGAAGGAGAACAACGCTTGTGCATTCCAAATGATCCCAAGATCATAACTCATCTGATTTCAGAGAGTCATGATGCTTGAGTTCACTTTGGGTTCCTAAAGACTTATGCTGCCCTGACCCAACGCTTTTATTGGTCAAGGATGAAGGAGGATATTCTCAAGTACTTAGAGACTTGGGAGTTATACCAAAGGAACAAGGTCCACAAACGACCTCCTATGGGGCTACTCAAACCATTGCCTATTCCGAGTGGTCCAGGTGAGTTAGTGTCCATTGACTTCACTGATTTGGGCAAGACCACCCCTCATGGCCTGAGACAGGTAATGGTATGTATTGGTCGTTTCTCTAAGTCTGCTGAGTTTATTCCCTTACCTGTTGAGGCCAGAGTTCCTCTGGTCAAAGAGTTGTTTGCTGAGAGGTGGGTTAATGTCCATGGGTGCCCAGCCTCCATTGTCAGTGACAGAGACCCCTGGTTTTGCAGTGATTAATGACAATCTTTCTGTAAAGACTACCTCCATTCCAAGCTAGATATGACTTCTGGCAGGCATCCTGAAGCCAATGGACAGACTGAAGTGATGAACCAAGTTTTGTTTCAGCTGTTGCATCCTGTGATCACACCTGATCAACAGGACTGGGACAAACATTTGTCTAGGGCTCAACTTATAAATAATACTTTCGTTCACAACACTACAGGCTTTACACCCTATAGGCTTCACTTTGCCAGGGACCCAAGACGACCTCTTGACGATCTCATTGACAAAACTAAGCCTAAACTAACTCCTGGGACTGTAGAGTTCACCAAGAGTTATGAGAAAGACCTAGAGAAAGTCAGAACAAACATGTTCAAGGCTCAGAAAAGAATGATAGAGCAGGCTAATAAGCATCGTTCTCCCTCTCATATTCGGCTTGGTCACTGGGTCTGGGTGAAAAGATGAGAGTTAACTTATGAACAGGATATATCACGAAAGTTGTTGCCTGTACTATGGCCCATGGCAGGTACTTGATACTGTGGGAGCAGACCCTTTTGGGCCTTTTGATGTATTTGTTGTACCCCCACATATCAAAACCTATCCTATCTTCCATGCCTCAAAACTGCTGCCTTTCACTCCTGCTGACGCATTTCCTGATCGGCCACCGCAGTTTGGACCTCCTATCCCTGGAAAGGGATATGAAGTCGAGAGCATTGAAGACCAATGGCGCACTGGCCCCGACTGTGAATATCTTGTCAAGTTCCTCTTCCAACCTCATATTGCGAACCGTTGGTTTACAAGAAAGGAACTTCTCAAGTCTGCCAATTCAGTCGTGCGGTTCTACGAGGCTGAACAAACTGGGAAATTGCTCAGGTGGTCTCCTCGTGGACACTCCTAGCTGGGGGTCCTCGCTCCCTAGGAGGGTAGGAATGCAATGAATTGCAGTGCTACAAGCAGGCTGTACACTCAATTTGTCCCTGTCGTTGTTGCCAGGACTTGATCCCGCAACCTTTGTCTGTTGCGTTGCTTGTTTGTTTGTGGTTTGCATGTTTTGAGCCTTGCGGGACTTGATCCCGTGACCTGTAACCTGTATGTTTTGTTTGTGAGCGTTGTGCCCTATGGGACTTGATCCCTGCGTCTGTCACTAGTAGTCTCTGTTTGGTAGTCCTAGGCCATTCGGCTTTTTCTTTTGCCTTGGCATAGCACTAGGCCCCCTTTTCCCCTGTTTCCATCTAGATACAGATAGGTTTTGGGTTGTTGCTTTGGGGAGGCCATCGTAGGTCTAGTGGAGTGTAGAAGTAGCGGGCAGGAAAAATAGTTCGGGTCTTTTCCTCTTTTTTTTGGCTGGGGAAACTCTGCCCGTTCGTGGCTGAAGTGTTGCTGCGTTATTTTGGGCGAGGCATCTTCTTCCTCGAAGCCCAGCCTTAGTTGGGGCTGGGACACGAAGTTGAAGATCGCACTGCTGCTATCCAGCAGCTCTGCACGAGAGCTTCACCAGAACTGTGTTGTTGGGTTTGGGCGCTGCCTTTCTTCACTTGGCAGCCATATCTGTTGTTCCTCCTCAAGAGGAAC